ATTTATTATCAAGATACATCAATTTATTTTACATGCTGGTCAAAATTTTCTTTAAAATGTATATTTAATATATCGTTAATCATTTCTAATTTTAAAAATAATCACCATAGAGATAAGATGATCGAAGTTAAAGATCATTTAGAATTAGTAAGTCAAAATCGGTCAGTCAACCAGTCGGTCAGAATCGGTCAAAATCGGTCAAAATCGGTCAGTCAACCGGTCAGTCAAAATCGGTCAAAATCGGTCAGTCAACTGGTCGGTCAAAATCGGTTAAAATCGGTCGGTCAAAATCAGTCAAAATCGGTCGGTCAACCGGTCAGTCAAAACCGGTCAGGCAACCGGTCAGTCGGTCAAAGGCCTCTGACCGACTGTTGACCGACCGTTAACCGACCATGACCGACCGTTAACATCCCTAGTATCGACAATGGGATGAATTTCGTTTCATTTTTTTTTCTTTTTGCAATGTCCGAAATAAATGATGAAAGCGGTTCCTCTTTGATAACAGTTGAAGAAAATGAAGCTAAAACATTCCCTTATGATACTTTTGTTGAAAATGAAGCTTTAAATATTGATAATAGTTTTGGAGATAATCTAGTTTATTGTTGTAATATGTTTTAAATATTTATTATTTTTATAAAAGACTGAAGTACAAGACTGACGGTCCTTCCGATCGGTCTTTATAAATTAAAACCATAGTCCAGTCCGTCTTTGTATAAAACTGGCGGCACAAAGACTAAGACGGACCGCTAGGACTTATTATCACTTTTAGTCGCGCATCGTTTCATGTTTTAGATCTAGATTTAGGTTTATGTCTCCTGACTTTGATTATGGATCCAATGGTTTCACGTGAATGTAGAAGAATAATTATCGTGGAATATCAAGAATGCTACATTTCAGATCTCTGAGAAAATTCTATCTAACTGAATTTGCTAAATATGGATGCGAACTATCATTTTCATCTTCTAATTATTATTATTCACATCCTCTTAATTCCTATAATTTATAATTTATCATCCAGTCGCTTTATTTTATTATAGTATAACCTAAAGAGATATTTTTTTGGAGTGCGGAATGTACAGTACATTGTCATGTAATATTTATATTAAGAAATCCACTTAAAATGAATCTTTCGATGGGACGTTTGCAAGTGCAAGTGCGGGTAATAGTGAATTTGATTGAGTGAGTGAGAGTGCAAGTAGAACGAAGTAAAAATTGTGTAGTTTGTTTTGTACCTCAAGTATTTATATTTGTTGACATTATTAGATCTACATTAAAAAAATTTATTTTATTGATGTTTGTGAATTTTCATAAATTTATTTGTTCTGATAAAAAAAAAAATAAATATTTTTCAGACAAACATTATTTACCCATTCAAACTTTTAAATATTTTTTTTTTTAAGACGACTTATCTGACAAATAAATCTATTACATCATTATTAATATAAAATTGGCATAGGTTGTTGAACCAACCTCCAAATTAGAATAGACCATATTTTTCAAACTAATATTTTTTCATCCTTAAATGTTTTGACATTTTGATAAATTATAGTATTTGATAAGTACATTTATTTCAACTAAACAACTATATGGCATGCGATTAAGATGTAAGTAATATGATTATTTGATCAATATAAATCTATTTTCGATCGCTTTACAGTCCCTAGAACAATTCAGCTTTGATAGCAAACATGTATAAAAGAAAGCATAATGAATCGAAATTTTTCTTTTTTGAAATCTACTGTATTATAAACGTTACACTTTTATGGCAAAAAAAGAGTCACAGTATTTATAATTTCCTCACCCGCTATGGTATTATACGAATATAAATATTTAAGAAAAAAATATAAAAAGCTTTATTCTTTTTTTTTTATCTTGTTATAATCTTAAATCACTATTTATTTATTTATTTATTTTGATTATTTCACAATTAAATTTCATGTATAAAATTGATTAAAAATCATTATCTCGAATATTGTTTTTTTATACAATAATATTTTTGCATAATGTTGTGAAGGATTTTTGAAAATAATTGTTGTTGAAAGACAGACCGTGTGTAGAAGACGATTCCCCTCAAGATAAGAGCTAAATAAATCGTGCTGTTCAAGCGAAGTAAAAATAAGCATGTATAATAGTCTACAGAATTTACATAGAAATTTCATGAATTACAGGAAAAAGTCCCGACTTTATTTTATTTTTCGCATGTATTACGTTTATTTGTCATTTGAAAAAAAAACTTTTTTTTTTTAAAAAAAATAAAAATAACGATAAGCCATTTCCGATTTGAAATCGGATAAAAGAATGACAAGAAATTAAGTTGTCCTTTTTATAAATTTCTCGACCATGATTAATTTTACTGAGAATCAACATATTGAAATTGAAATGCTATATGAGCAACATATACTCCTTCATTTTCAATCCTTCCGCCACCTCCATTAATTCCTGATAATCTAAATTCATTATTATTTCCAAATGGGCCAATTTGCAGAGTATCTGTTATTGAATATAATCCATAAGTTATTCCTAAAAGATCCCGTAGATTTACCATCATTAAAAGTAAATTTTATAACAGTAAGTAGTTTTCGACTAAATTTCAGATTAATTGCAACGATATATTTTGATCCATTATCTAGATCTGAAATTATATATTCATTTCCACCTGTTCCACCTGTTCCACCTATCTTTTTTCCAGCTCTAGAATTTTCATCATTTATATTTTCTTTATAATAAGTTTGAATAGAATCAATTAAATTACCATGTCTTACTATAATTTTTGTGATAATGGCAGGATCATCTTCAGTTATATTGTAAAGGAATCTATGACTATCTTTTAAATCATGTAAACCATCAGGAAATGTGTCAATTCCGTATGGCCCAACCCAAAAACTTCTTATATTGAAAGGCCAAGGTACTTTAGGAAAGAATTTGACTAATGAAAAGACGTGTAAAAAATTTTTCATAAATACTGCCTTGGCTTCATTAAACATTCTTAACTTGACAAGATCAAAAACTTTTAAAAAAATTTGATCATTTGAAGATTTTGCAACATATTTAACTAGTTTATGGCTAATTTTATCTCTAACTTCACCATTCGCCTGAAAACTAAAGAGCGAGGATGAAGTTAAATCATTAGAAATTGAGGTTTTCGTTGTTATTTGTTCTATCCTCCATATAAAGCATTGATGAAACGAATCCGAAAAATGGTTTTGATATTGAGAAATAATGCTTTTAGTGCTTTTAGTTATGCAATAATTAGACAGTTGTGTTATTTTACCTTCAATCATTAGTAAATTTATGTGTTCTCTCAAGACGGTAAGATTTACGATCGCAAAAGTAATAGTGAAAGGGATTAGGTGAAAGGATTTTTCACTTTTCAAAAGATATTCAAAAAATAAATTGCATTTGTCAACAAGGTTTGATAAAAGTTGTTCTCAATTTTGAATAACCAAATATTCTAAAAGCAGCTTCTTAATAGGTTGTAAATTTTTGATTTGTTGGTCAATTTCTGTATCAATGATTTCTTGACTAATAATATTTTTCACCCTATTTTTGATTCGAGTGAAAATATCATCTTTTTTTGTAATAGATTTTTCTTCATTTTCTAAAAAGAATAAAATGACTAGGTTTGATAATAAAGACAAGCTTGAGAATATCTTTTTTGTTGAAATGGATTTGTTAACATTCTTGTTATGGAGAATGGATATAAAATCATTGATTCGTTCATCCCACGAATAATCATCGTTCATTTTTATCTTTATTTTTCAATAGTTTTTACTGTAAAAGAAATTGTATGTGAATTTGCTAAATGAAAAGTATCATCTTTTTATTAAAATTCTTATTAATGTGACATTTTTCTTTTCTAAAAAGCGTTAGCCTCATTTTCTGAAAATCAATAATAAAGCTCATGACATGTGAAATCTTGTGAGAAAATGGTGGGTTTTCTTAATCAAGGAAAATTACCAATGCTAATATTTTTTTCCATTGTTGTGAAGATCGATTTTCCTCAAAAAAATGGCTGAGGAGATTTTATATTTTTTAAATAAAAAAAATTCAATCATACAATTTCTGAGCTTTCAAAAAAATTTTTTACAAGTTATTGTTGTAACTTACAAGAATTTCTACAGCATAATATATACGAGTGGAGCGAGGAGAATGGACTGGTGTTCTTAGAAAAACTTTGCAAAAGTTTTGGAAAGAGATTTAAAACAAGTCTCCTCATAAAAAGAAGGAAGTGAAAAAAAATTAGCCAACCGGGAGGGGAGGGGAGGGGGGGTTTTAACTATAAACACTTCGAATTTAATCATAAATAAAGATCAGCAGCAATTTCTCATGATATGAGAAAAGATTTATGAAGCGATTCAATAGGATAAATACAATTTTTTTTGGCTATTATTGATGTTAAGTAATTTTGTTGTTGAGCTTATTTGGTGAAGATTTCAATTCATTTTTAAGGCTCTTTGTAGATGAAATGAAAGAATTAGAAAGTGAGTAAATTTTTTTTATAATAACATTTTAATATTTTTTTTTTTTTTATAATTTTTATTAAAAAATAATTTATTTTTAGATGGTATAACATATTATGACGCATTTACCGAAAGTGAATTTACATTACATGCAATTATTCTTGCATGGACTGGTAATATTCCTGCTCTCTCTAAAGTTATGAATATTACTGGTTATAATTCATTTCCTGGTTGTAGATTTTGTGAAATTAAAGGGTTTATTCACAAACGCATAAGCATATTTAATTTCCTTATAAAGAAATATATGCAAAAAATAATCATACTGTTAGTAATTGCATCTATGTGAAATAGAAGTTGCGTCAACTTCTAAAGAGAAAAAACCCTTAATAAAAAAATAAATATAAATAATTATTACTATTAATATTTAATTTATAATTAAATTATTTATTTTCTTTATAGGAATAAATGGAAAGAGCATTCTTTTTGAATTACTTTTTATAGAATTTCCAAGATCTTTTTTGGTTGATATCATACATTTATTTTTTGAAAATATTATGTCACATATGTTTAAATTATGGAGAGGCTGATTTTTTAAAGATGATACTTTAAATAATTCAATTTCTTTTGTTTTATCTAAATCATCTTAAGAAGAAATTGGCATAAAAATGCAAAATAATAAAAAGAATATGCCAATAGATTTTGAAAGATCATCACTAAAGATGTTAGCCGAAACTCTCTCAAAATAATTTCGTCATATCCCTTACTATGTTTTTAATATAATTTCGGTTAATTTCGGGTTTCGGGGTTTTGTCGTATCCTTTACTATGTTTTAATATAGTTTCAGCTGTTTATTAATTGCCTTTTTTGAGTTTCGTCCCTCATCTTTAATCATCACATAATATTTAGAAACATAAAGCTAAATATAAAGCAGAAAAATAGTCAAATTGGATAACTTTATATTCAGTATCTTTGCTTAAATCCAAATTACTAGAAAGATATAAAATTTATAATGTTTATTAAATATTTTAATGATTTTAAATTTTAATTTCTAAAATATATATCAAATTTATAGATATATTAAAGGTTAGAATGAATTTGTCATAGCTATTCATTTATGCATGCAAATCAATATTGAAAAAGAAAATATTAATTTAATTAGAAAAAAATTTATAAATTTTTATAAGCATATATTAAAATAAATATATATACATTGTATTCACTATGTAATTGATAAATTACTTTTATTTATAATATATTCATTTATTTTTTTATAGAGTTTTGTAAGCATAGATGAAGAAGATCAATCAAAAATCTTTTTAATATCTTTTCACTATTTATTACATATAGCTAAAAGTATTGAAGATTTTGGTCTACATAGAAGATATTGGCAATTTCCAATGGAAAGAATGTGTAAAATATTAATTCCATTAGTAAAATTACAAATTCATCTATATATTAGTCTTTAGAATAATATAATTTTAAATAAAATATTTAATCATTTTAAAATTTAAATGAGCAAATATTTTAAGAAGAAGAGGAAAAAAAGAAATGAACTTTACTCTTTATCTAAAAAATATAAATTGTCAAATGCAGAATTAAAAATGTTAAAAAAAACCTATACTGCTATTTTTGATACAAATAACATAACAATTGAGGTTTGTTATAAAAAAACTAATTTTATTAAAACTTTTAATTAAAAATAATTTTATTTTTAATTTTTTAAATTCAGAATTTATACCAAATGTGAAGAAATTTTGTAAACTATGTACCAATGAATATATTATAATTTCTAAAATAATATCAAAAAATGAAATAAAGAGTATAAATAATTATTCTGTATTAGTAAGTATTATAACTATACATAAAGTCAAAATAAAAACCCAAAAGTCGAAATGTTTTGACTTTGGAAGTCAAAATCAAAATGAAAAGTCAAAATGATCGAAAAATCGTCATATTACATGATTTTTTCTATATAAAAAAAACAAAAAACCAAAAAATGTACTGGTCAATATCACACTGATTCATATGAAACAACTACTATTCAATTCCTTGCGACTAGACAAATCCAATGAGCTAAAATTCATTGATTTAGGATTAGCCTATCTCGAGATATTTGAGATCGTATTTCAAAATCTGGACTTCTTTATTTAAAGTAGAAGTTATTGATTCATAATTTCAGCCGATAATACAATTGCAATTATCTCATGATTGAATAATCCAAATCAATGAATATTAGTTCATTGGATTCATCTGATCGCGAAGAATTAAATAGTAGTTGTTTAATACGAATCAGTACAATATTGATCAAAATCATACATCTTTTATTTTTTTTATTTTTTCTATATATAAAAAATCATGTAATATGATGTCATTTCGACCATTTTAACTTTTCACCTCCACTAGTCGAAATGATTTTGATTGGAAAAAAAAAACTCTCTCTCTTCCTTGTTGGATTTTATTCAAGAATTTTTACTTTAAAAAAGTGTCCGTTCAAAGGCGACCGCAGCTTAGTCTATGAAATAAAATAAAAAACCCTCTTTTCAAAAATTTTTCTCTCTTTATTTCCACAACTCCTATTCATATAAAAATTGCTGTTGAAGCCTAAATCATATTGTTTTTTGTTAAAATATTTTTTCTTCATCTCTCTTCGGTATATTTTTTCTCATTATTTCTTTTTCTAAATTATTTGCTCACAAAAATGGGTATCAAGGGGTATCCAAATCAACGATCATGATCAACATACTTTGGATACACAAATTTGCGTGATGACATCCCTATTTCTTCATAAATAGTAACACTCTTTTTTTGCAGATCTCTGACGTCGAAGATTGTGAAAACCCACGCAGTATTTTCTGGACTTGACCGACTGTGTAATTTGAACCTTATCCTGTGCCAGGATTAGCTATAATCTGAGTTGACAGATATCTTAGTATTGGAAGCAATAGTCTGAAGAGCCTCTATTAGAATTTAGTGATATGAGCGCACCTGTGCCGGGTGATCACTATAATTCGGAATTGACTGGACAACTTAATTAGGAACTTAGTAGAGTCTCCTTATGTTGCTCTTTTTTGTAAATTCTTTAGCGTAGATAGTCAGGTTTTATAGTTACTTTTTCGGAAAATATGTCATTATTAGTTGAAGGTTACATTTTGTTTTTGTTTTTCGGGAATTTACTTTAGAAAAGAGATAACAAAGTAGTATTGACTATGGTTTATTTCATCCCCTGTGGAAGATAGTAGTCATTATACATGCATGTAGTCAGTCTATTGGAGGGGGGTAATGATGCTTAATTGACTCAAATGGACTTGCAATATAGTTATGGTGGGTAGTTAGTCATTTGTTTGTTAGTTTTTGATTTTACTATTATTGCATTTTTGTATAAACTAGAGCTCCGAATCAGGTCAGGTCAATCTGTGACCAGACCTGAAAAATCCAGGTCAGGTAGACAAATTTTCAGGTCAACATCAGGTCAACCAATTAAATTAAATGAAATAAAATATTTTAAAAAAATTTTTTTTGTCTATTTTTTTTTTAATTTTATTTAATATACTTTTTTTTTATATTCTAATAAAGTTGTTTGTATAATTACTTTGTAATTTATTATAAT